GCAGGAAAAACACAGATTACAGCAGGAAAAACACAGATTACAGCAGAAAAACAGATTACAGCAGGAAAAACACAGATTACAGCAGGAAAAACACAGATTACAGCAGAAAAACACAGATTACAGCAGGAAAAACACAGATTACAGCAGGAAAGACACTTGCGCTTTAGAAATTGTGCAACTACGTTTTGAATTAGCGCTGCCCACCACTGCTGTCAAACAATTCGCAGTCACATCTGATGTGTTTATATTTCTCTGCATCAGATTATTATTTTATTATAAAAAAGTCTGTAGAATATTTATTCCTGTTTTCTTTGTTTTTTCTTCAGGAGAAGAAAGTGATTGTGCTGATAAACAGACAGGATCCAGTTCTGACAGATTTACCTCTCCTTCACTGCAGGCAGCAAACACAAGAACACAAGAGGAGACAAACAGAAGGTTAACGTTGGATTAAACAGATCCGGTGAGTAAATCAGGTTTTGTTGTGATCCAGGAATTACCCATGTCCGGTTTGGGGTGCATCAGTTTGAAGGGAACCTCCAGACCGACCTCACTGCAGAACAAACAGACTCTGACTTATTAAAACATTTTATTCTCTAATGAATAATTTGATCGAAACAGATATTTTAAATAGTTATTTTTATAAATAAAGGGAGACCTGGACTCACCTGGACCCCATCATCCTGTCAGCAGGTTGGAAAACAAAAATAATCCAATAAATCAGAAAATAATTATCTGAGGAAACTATCTGTAAATAAAGTGAAATATACTGTCACAGAACCACATCAGGGCCAGTTTGATACGTAATAAAATACATAAATGTAGAAACTGACCCTCCGATGATGAGTTTGACCATAACTTTATATGAAACCATGATTCCCAGAACCTCCTTCAGAACTCCGTCTTTTATTCTGAAAGGAAACAGAGTTTTTCAGCTGAGGGTTGAAGGTTGTGTTTCTGGCAGCAGGACCTCTCTGCTCACATGCTGCTCGATGCCAGGTTGGTGTCTTCATGCTTCAGTTTGCCGTCCAGAGCGATGCCTCTCCTCTCCCGGTTGTTGGCCAGCAGYGGCAGCAGCTTGTAGACCTTCTGCAGCGAGGCTCCGGCAGACACTGAGTCCCTGACAGAGAGTCAACGAAACCATCGATTCAACACCTCAAACACACCAAAACCATCGATTCAACTCCTCAAACACAACGAAACCATCGATTCAACACCTCAAACACAAAAAAAACATCGATTCAACACCTCAAACACACCAAAACCATCGATTCAACTCCTCAAACACAACGAAACCATCGAATCAACACCTCAAACACACCAAAACCATCGAATCAACACCTCAAACACACCAAAACCATCGAATCAACACCTCAAACACACCAAAACCATTTAATCAACTCCTCAAACACACCAAAACCATCAATTCAACACCTCAAACACAATAAAAACATTGATTCAACACCTCAAACACACCAAAACCATCGATTTAACTCCTCAACCACACCAAAACCATCGATTCAACACCTCAAACACAAAAAAAACATCGATTCAACACCTCAAACACACCAAAACCATCGATTCAACACCTCAAACATCGATTCAAC